CCTCAATTAATGCGTTACGCTAGTGCATGTTCACACTTTAGGTACTCTAATAATAGTGGTGTGCTCCTTACACATAAACTGCTCCAACAGAGACAGAACGACTGAAATCGACACTGCATAATTTTGACTGTCAATATCACGGGTTGATTGACCGATACGATGTGTCGCTGTCTCATCTCACTAGCGACGTGTTCCCGTAGTCTTATATTTTTGAAATACCGATATAGTTAATAGATCTGTAATTTCACCGACTATTTCCTATTCCCAATTGTGACATTTTGACTGATTATTTCACTTTTTTTAAACATTTAATATTGGAACAAAATTCATGGAGCTGTGATTTTTGTTCCGGAACTTATTTCACATTTGGTTAAAATATTAGTTTCGGAACAAATTTTACAGTGCTGGAACATATTTCCTTATAACATATATTCCGGGTATACATTTTCTGTGATATAAACTGCGGTGGAACATATTTCCTATTAAACAAATTTTTTGTTACATTTATTCTTGAATAAGAATCATAAACTTACCACATTAAATTGTGGCGAAAATCAAAAGAAATAAAAGTTTCATAATGTTTCTACTAGAATATCTGAAGATTTCTGCTGGCATGTCACTATACTATTATCAGTCATGTTACAACTTTACCTTCAGTTGGGATTGACATATTTTCAATGTCCTGTGAAACAATTGTACAGGTGTTGATAAGGAAGATCTGTTAAAAGAGTAAACTGAATCCCCAAGAATAATGTTACAATATTCCCAACCCTCAGTAAAGAGGAATTTTTCATGAAATCTTATATAAAATTTCAAAGCAATATAGCAATGGATAAAAAGGAAAATAACAAAAATAATGAACTTAAAGGAAAATTCAAAAAAACTATGTCAACAAAGAAAAACAAAACGGCATATATAGACACTCTATAGACAAAGCAAAAAAGAAAGACAAGAATACAAAGAATGACCATAGCAAAATAAAACAATGGCGGGATCTATAAATATCGAGCCTCGCCAAAAGGACATTACCAAAAATGTACTAAATAGGTTAAAAAAATATACAAAGACAAATAAAAAGAAAACCATAACACGTAATAAAGATGATTAACAACGTCAGTATCTAGAATCTATACTTCAAGACCATCATGTATTAATTGTTAAGCTAATACGGAATATTTATCAACAAGGTCTTGGTCTCTTCCGATGAATTTTTTTAGAAAAAGGACGAGACGTTCTTTGACATTCTTTGATAGAATTCACCATGTCTGCATACCCACACGATAATTTGCGTTTTTGGTAGAGTTTTAGTTGCTTTAATTTTTAGTTTTGTGGGTAACAGCTAATCGTCGCTTTGTCCATTCATCTGTCCGTCCGTTAGTCCGCAAGCAAATGGTTTCTTGGAATTACTTGAGAGTCCGTTGAAGGGTTGGAATGCAACATATATAGATGGAAGATATAGGGAAGGTGGAAGACCTTTGATTTGGGGATCAATATGTCAAAGGTCGAGGTTGCTGTTACAAAAAAGGTTGATTTAAATATAACATAATATTATGTAGATTTAAAGAAATATGGAAGGGAAATAGCCATATTGATTTTCAGGTCAATAGGTCAACGACCAAGATCAAAGATGCTAAAAGTAGACTGAAATATAAAAAATGAGGGCAATGTTTTGTTCTTGGTGGAGTACTGGAGATACATTCTTGGATTCAAATAAAGTGGTAGGTAGTTAGAAACAAAGCCTATTCATTCGAATGCAGGTACATTGAACAGCGATACATGGTATGAAATTATTAAAAATCTTGTTTTTTATATAAAATATTTGAGTTCATTTTTAAATATAGAAAGTGTTCATCAACCTTTCGGTTTCTAGATTGACGACTTTTTTTCAGCAATATTATTTGATATGTTAGGGAATATTCATCAAAATGTGGTTTTGGAAGCATAGATTGACCAAATTTCTGCTTGTTTATTTTGACCAAGGTGTTTCTGCCTTTTTCTACTAATATATTTGTGCCTTGATATCTTTTTACTTTTTTAATGTAAAACTTTACAACCCAGCTTGCACAATTGTGTGTGTCACATAAACAAATAATGAGTTGTAAAGGATGTGACAAATTATATTACATCTGCCATTATCTATGCAAAATCTATTATAATTTAGCATATCGTAATAAAGGGGAAACCAACACATGCCTACCTAGTAAGATTTAATGTAATATGAACAAATAATGAGCGTGTCATTTGTTCGGGATATTTTTGTCTGTGATTTAATTGCTTTCGTTAATTCGGTTTTCTACGATTTGTTTTAAAATGTAGCAAAAAAGACACTCTTGTTCATGGTAAAGCTGTGTTTTTAATTTCAAATACTTTCATCGTTACCAACCTCCTCTTTAGTTTTTTTTTATTATTAATATAGCAATGCTATTGAAATGGGACTGTCTGATAGGTTGCATAGGGTCTGGAAAGAATGGAGTACTGATTGAGTAGAGAAATCATACTTTAGAGGTGTGAAAACAATTTACAAATATTAAATATTTTTCAAACTTTATCATTTACTCGAAACATTTCCATTGTCAAACATAAGATGATTGGTATTTGTTTACCATTAAAATATCTAAAATTCATCGTTATCATGCATGATTTTTGATTCCAGGCTTTCTATTTCTGTAGACCATGTCTCAGCTTTGTTAAAGCGGGAGAGGTTAACTTATGTATCTATATTTGTTTAAATGTTGAAGACCGTTTAGATAAGACTAAAGTGGACTAAGATAAATGTGTCCCTTGTATTATATCGAGTCCGACCTTACTTGTATTTCAGATATGTTCCATACAGATTTCCTTCTGGAGATTTCTGAAGAAATTATTCTCTTAAAATAAATGGTATTTTGAAACAGCTATAAAATACAAGACTTACTTGAAAGTTCAAGTACAGATTTTGGTAGAGTAATATACAAGGTTTTCATGGCGGGTGATGCATGCATAGGAGGATACGCTTACCCTGTCGACGCACCCAGTCTCACTTCTTTTGGTGTTCATGCGATTCCCTCATTTTTTGTTCGTTTTCTTGATTTGTCTCTTTTTAATCGATTCACGAAATTTGAACATCGGTAAACTACTTTCTTTTTGAATACCCAGCACCACCAATTTTTGACATTCTTGTATTATCTTTTCGTACTACTCTGCTTTGAAATCATTGTTGGCATTTGTAGCAAAACTTTTATTTCAGTTTAACCTAGCATCAGGTGAAAATGAAATAAAAGTGCTGCTAAAAATGCAAACAAAAAGTACATAATGGAACGTACAATAAAGATCAATTGAAAATAGATATGTTTCCATGGGACACGATGTCACGCTCAGACCATCACATTTATATATTTTGTGAACGGCGATATAGACCAAACCCCGAATTTGGAATATATATTAATACGTGCATGTTCATAATGTACAGGTGTACAAAGTTCCAAGTTGGTGTGACCACATCTTCATTGTGAACAATATAAAACTAAAATTTAACTGAAAAGGGACGGACGAATTGATTTCTGTACGGACGCACGAACATACTAGAAATTATAGTATTCACTCTACAATCTACGGCGGGGTATTATAATTATTCAATTCCATGATATCGGTATAACAGACCACAAAAATATACTTTTGAACAGATATGTTCCAATGTTCCAATGCTCCATGTAAAGGAGGGGTATTTGCGAAAAATACCAGTTGAGAGAATGTTAAATTTTTGCATATACCCCGGCGGCGTTAAAAAATGAACGATATTCATTTGATAACAGTAAATTGGTGAAAAATACACTGGCTATCAACCAATCAAAACCCATGATTCTTACATAAGCTGTAATTAATAAGAAAATACTAATAATGTCATTTGTCAGCGGTAACTTAGTAAAATCAAGCCTAAGTACTTGAACTTTTCTGAGAGAATATGTCAGCAATTATTCAAGAAAATATCTTTGTAGAGGTGTTTTTATAATTTGTACATAAATAGCGATTTCATAACAATTAAAAGAAAAAATTAGTTAATAAATTAGGCGTTGGAATACATAGTCAGATGTTCAGATGTTACATGCTACCTTATTTTTTAATTTTATGCAAATAAGTCTTCATTTGTCGGTTACATCGACATAGTAAGATATGTTTTAACGATCATAGGAATGCTACCCTGTTGGTAGACTGACAGTTCTCAAGTGGAGCATCTTATTAGTTACCAGTCCTTCAATATTGCATCAGCGTTTTCACAAAAAATGATGAGAAGTTCCTTAGTACAGTTAAACATAGTATGGTGGGTGCAGATATAAAACGAATAAATAAGATTTCTTTGGTTGTTTAACATCTTGAAGGTTATTTAGTGGAGATGACCAAAGAAACTTACTTACTAGCATTTGAAACTGTATAGTATTTGTACCAGCATGCATTGGAATTTGTGATTTCAATCCAATTACAAACAAAAACCAACAATGACAAAAGTATTGCTAATCCAAGCATGGTCCTTTAAACAAAGTTTGTGTCATTTTGTCTGGTTGGGTTTTTCAATATTGATTCCCATACTGGGTTTTTTTCGAATTAATGTTCCAGTTCCTTCATTTTGTAGTTGTTGATTTTTCGTCTGTTTTAAATGGATAGGACATAGAATTATTTACAGTGTTCCGTAGAGTGTTGTTTGTCTTTTCGGGTTTTTGTTCGTTTTTGTTGTCAATGGTTTTGTCAACTCATGAAATATAGCAGACCTTGCTGTATTTGTGGTATTTCTGTTCAATTTCAATGGGATGCAATCAACAAAGTCACCAAACTTTAAATAAGTGGAGTAGTTTTTCTGGCCATGGGGTTAAATGCTCTCTTACATTAAAGACAGGATTACAATCCTTTAAAAAAAATGAATCTAAAATAAGAACTATACATTAATCATATAAATAGTAACGCAATTCGCTGTGAATGTTTCAGATAGCCCGAGTGCTGATTAAATTAAAATAGTGACAAGCGAACAGTTCATTTTTAATTTTTATTGAATCAACCGATGATTGGTTGGTACTGAGGTAATAATGCCAACAAATAGCCTGAAAATGTACAGTAAATTTGAGTAGGTACTCCATATAAGGCTGTGTCATGGCTTTTTATGTCAAGAAATACCTCATCGCCTTGTAGCAGCTCTAGGGAAGCAGAATTACTTCCGGTGACGTAACCAGATGGAACGTGACCATAAATAGAGTTCACATATATGAAATTGTGGTAAAGATCAATCCAAATTGCCTTATCTGAGTGAGATAAAGCATGGAAATGGAAGACGTATATGCCACTATATTTCGCGGTAAATTTTCCCGTTTTCGTGTCATACCCTAAGCCATGATTTATGAAAACTCTGTCAAATATTACTGTATGGCCCTGTGTTTGTGTATGATGAGCTGACAGTCCAACAGAAAAAGCTATCTCTTCCGCCTGGCCGTTTTCTATGAGGAAAAAAAACAGCATTTAGTCAATCTTGTTAAGCATATCTGTAGGAAAATTTTAAAGAGTTATTATTGAACTTGTTAAAGATGCATTGCAAAAACAATTAGGAGCAGTCAGAATGTCATCTCAATTTAGGTGAACATCTCATGATGACCACGATGACGATTCAATATTAAAATTTCGGGGGGAAAATTGTTACTTGTTCATGAGAATAGTTTATAATGTTCATATGCAGAATTGTGTTTTTTCTCTGAACTTAAACTAATGATAAAAATGTCCAAAAGTTGATAAAGACTTACAAATGACTTTTTTGTTTGTTATTCGTGTATCATTCGTAGCTGTCTAGCTCAGATTTTTGTTTTAAACCTTCGATAGTGCCATGTATGCAAAATTTAATTTCTGCCGTAACAATGAGTCATTCAAAACAACGACTTCATCATGTTAATATTTTGTTTTTTCATCAAAATGTTGTTTTTAAGTCCCCCAAAAATGAAAGCAAACATAATGAAATATCACTCTATAAATTGCATCTGAGGCCATCTTCTAAATTTTATTTCACAAGGAACGCTCAGAACAAAAACTGGGGGTAATCTCAGGTACTCCGGAAGGGTGTAGATCCTTCTCCACATGTGACATCCTTTCAAGATCCTTTGCAAAAGGTTCATGCGGATGCGTCGGGTAAGATAATTTTTGTATGTTTCTCTTGGTATTTTTATTTGTTTCACTTTTTTGTGCCTTTATATGTCTTGTATACTTATAGTTGATGCCAGTTACTTGCTTTTTTTTTGCTTAAGAGCGACCGTTTGGGTATGCAGGATAAATAAATACATAGCCAATTTTGCAGGTTGGCTAATGACTGTTTGAAAACGTGACAACACCAATTTCCGATTGGGAGCATTGACTCCAAGATACATAATTAAATGGAGCTGCAATGTGATACTAACGAGGAAAAGGGGGATATTCAAACTCATGGGTCGAGAATAAACTGACAACGCCATGGCTACAAAAGAAAAAGACCAACAGACAAACTATAGTACACAACACACAACATAGAAAACTAAAGACTGAGCAACACGAACCCCATAAAAAAACATGGGGTGATCTCAAAGAGTGTTTTGCTTTAAAAACGTCTTCAATCCTCAAATTTAACTCGAAGAGCTTGTTCCAAGTCAGCTCTATGACATTCAATTGCGAATTGTTCAGACAATAATTGCTGGACAATATTATTCAAAACTAGTGTAAATATATGGACTACGATTGTTTTTTTTTTTAAATAAAAGAGAGGTGAAAGATATCAAAGGGACATTCAAACTCATAAGTCGAAAATAAACTGACAAAGCAATGGCGGAAAAAGAAAAATACCAAAAGACAAATATCAGTATACAAAACACAAGGAAAAATAAAGACTGAGCAACACGATACTCACTACAAACCGATAACTTTTGATTTTAAATTGATTTAGTATTCCTATTCTTTATTCGTTTATTGAACGTACCAAGATAATCTGTTGACGGAGACAGGATAGAACCAGAAAATGTTGTATAAGTTTGATTTGTTCCAATGTCACCATAAATTCCACCTGCTCTTCTAGATCTGACCGATACTTTGTCTCCTGTATGGAGGTGTATAATTGCGGTGTTACCTGCATCGGCCCACTCGTTCGGTGTTTTACCATATGCTGAGTTGATATACTGGTCGTTATAGTACAAATCTAACCATAATTCCTGTGAAGCATTAAGAGATAGAGAGTAGCGATCAAAACTGGCATATAGTCAACGTTCAAAAAAATATTGTTGATTTATCTAAATTCTGAATTATACTTTTCAATGAAAGGTTTGAATCGATTCGTGCATTTCGTTTAATTAGATCATGCGTATCTAAGTCGTGCCTTAAATATAAACATTCGCTCTATTATATCATAGTCAAAATTCACTGCATTTAAATTATATGTAATGATTTCGAGTACCACAACCACATTTACACTTTTCATTTCATTAAATTGGTAATGTAACATACAAGATCTTCGAATTTTATTTGAAATTAAAACATTAGTGACGGTTATGAAATTCATAAAAGAGAGACGAAAGATACCAAAGGGATATTCAATTTAATGAAACGAAAACGAACTGAAAATGTTTTTTTCAAAATACAAAAAAAAAAACACATAGAAACGAATGACCGAGTAACACGACCTACGTCAAAAATCTTAGTGGGTTACCTCAGGTGCTCCGGAAGTGAAAGCTGATTATGCTCCACATGTGGCACCCGTCGTTTTGGTCGTGTAGAAACCCAGTGATGTTTCTAATTCGATAGGTCATATTAGAGGAATGTGGACGGGATTGTGACTACAATTGAAACATATCCGTCGTCATCTGTGAAACAGATATTCAATAACGGTAAACCATCTCTTGATGGCGGCCGTGATGTGTTTAACCTTTTTTTATTCTATCTTCACTGATTTAAGACGAAACATGCATCTGGCATTCAAAATCATAAGCCTGGTATCTTTGAAATTTTCAACACGACCATATTGTATGCAAAATTTTACACAAATTCGGAATGGTAAGCCTAAGATTCAAAGAAAACTGACGAAGCCAAAAAGTTGCAAAAGAGTTGATCAGGCTTGATCGGTATTATGTTTATGACAGTTTATGAACATTATACTTGTATGTAAATTCCTAATACGCAATGTTAATTTATTCTTCCATACAGACCAGAGATGTAAAATAAATGCCACTTTCCCTTCAACTATGAACTCAGTGAAAAATGATAAGTTTAACTTACATGATCTGAAGTGGCCAATGCGTGGTAATGAAAAATGTATAGACCTGACTGTGCCGCGGTAAATGTTCCAGTTCCTTTGTCGTACGTTGGAGTACCTCTACTGGCTATAATTATATCGTATAAAACATGCTGACTGGTTGTCAAGGCAATGGAGTGGTTCAGTCCAACTGAGAAAGCATCCAATCCATCATTGTCGCTTACTAGATAAAAAGATTTAGAAGATTTTAAATTATCTGCTTGCAAAATAAAAAAATCAAACCATTGACAAAATAAAACGTTACGGTCACCTTTTTTGTCATTCGGTTAACGACGGCTGAAGTTACTCATATCAAAAAATTAAAAACTAGACAAAGTGATGCCCCACACTTCACTTTGTAGTAACTGTATTATAACAAAGTCAATGTAGGACTTTCTTTGAGATATTATTGTGTCTTGGAGACACAAATTATGCACCCGCAGATGCAAAGTGTTATTTTAAAATACACAAAGTTGACCATGTGAGCACATAGGTATATGGTTCACTGTAGGAGGAGTTATCTGGAAACGCCATGCACCTATTATGCAAGTATATACTCAAAAACTGACAAGGTTCAATTATCTTCCAAAAGAGCAAATATTAAAAAAAATAAAAACCCTGACCATGCACACCTTCAATATATGTACAACAGCCAGCAAAGTGAAAACTTCCTAGCATTCAAACTGTCGGAGTAGTAATCCGGAAACGCTATGAACCTCTTATGCAAGTAAATACCAAAATATGACATAGTTCAACTATCTCCCAACAGAGCAACTATTTATTAAAAATCATAACCCTGACCACATGCACACCTTCAATATATGTACAAACAGCCAGCAAAGTGAAAACTTCATAGCATTCAAACTGTAGGAAAGTTATCCGGAAAAGCTATATACCCATAATGGGACGGGCGGACGGAAGAAACGGGCGGAAGGACAGACGGACGGACAGGGGTAAAACAATATGCCTCCCCCCCCCCCCCCCCAATCCAGTTGCGGGAGCATAAAAAGTGTAAGCAGTCAAACGTAGGTCAAAGATATTTCTTCAAACAAACTATAGGAACTATTGACAAACTAATTTCTTTAGATTAATTTCTTTGTGAGGGAAATGTATGTGTATATTGAACAAAACGTTCAAGGTTTGCCAAATAGTATACCTTTCGCTAATACGTATTAAAACTAACCTGCCAGCAGTACACCAGTAAAAGTAGTATAAACTTGATCTCCTGCTCCAAAAATAACATTATCGTAGTTGTCACGTGCCTTTATGAAAACCGTATCGTCCATTTCGAGATTTAAGAACACAGAATTGCCAGCATCTACATAGTCACTCGGGGTTCTACCGTAAATTGAAACAATATAATTGTCATTCCGGTAGAGTTCTAACCATACGTGTTCGTTGCTTTTGGTAACTGCGTAAAAATGGAAGGCGTACAATCCGGGAGTACTGCAGACAAATTTACCATCAGCAGAAAAGTATGCATTGATGTTTGTTATGGTTTTATCAAATGTTAGAATTTCGCCATGTGTTAGGTGTTCATGTGATGCCCGACCTTTAGTAAATGCCACGACGTCATCTCCACCTGGAAAAATAAATAAAAAATCATAAATTATATTCGGTGTCCGGTACTTTCTTACTACTACCACTTTGGTGACGCTACATTTTCAAAAAGAGAATCACAAGCATGGTTCGCACTTATGTTATTGACTTATGTCTCTGATACTGACGCTAGTGACATTTTGAGTAAATAAAAAGATAAAAGTTTGTAGATATCTATAGCATATTAATCTTATCCCTGGGTTGCACCTGTGGTTGTTCCTCCTGTGCTTGGTTTCAGTTGACTTTTTGCACAGTTATTGCTCAAGTGTGAAAAGAAATGCACAACTGAAGACAAATCCGTATAAATCTGTAAATATCTAGTTGACGTGATAGGTTCCTTTATTGAACCGAAATTATACATGCGTTCAAACTCCATCGTCGCGATATTGTAGTAAGAACAACCGTGCTTATGGTATCATTTCGAAGAAGATACGCGGCATTCTCTATACACAACCCTTCTTAATTCGTTACTAGGCTTCAAATAATCCCTCCTCCCCCAACAAATAGTACCCTATGATCTGTGTCCATCATTTTTCGAAAATTAAGAAATAAAGAAGTGTGTCCTTTAAAAAAGAATGATAAACTTACCACTGACGATTGAGGGGAAAATCAAAAAAAGTAGAAGTTTCATAAAGCTTCTACCGGAAAGTCTAAAGATTATAGACGATAGGATATGACACTATTAACTGTTATCAGTTATGTTAGAACTTTACCTTGAGTTGGCATTGACACATTTATCAATTTTCTGTAAACACAACTGAACATGTGTTACTAGTAATTGGAAAGATATTTTTACAAGTAAACAGGAATGCCTAAGAATAATGATACAACATTTCCCACCCTCAGTTAAACATGAAATTTTCATGAAATCATATATAGTTTACCCTGGGACTATTATACTAATAGTATGATAGTCCTAGGTTTACCACAGTTATAGCAAGGTAGAAAATTTATCTTGGTTTATTCTGCCTGCAAACACACACTATAATTTGCAAAATCATTAACTCCTGTATACAAGTCTCCTAATTAGCCAGACCCTCATATATAACCGGATATATAATCAGAAGCAATACAGATGCCTTTATAAGAACCGAACTGATTTACCTTTCTGATCACCTGAATTCATCCGTTTTTTTGGTTGGGTTTGAGTTGCTCAAATTTTCAGTTTTCTTGGTAATATGAGGGTCTGGATTGGGGGTTTCACTTCTGTATTTTTTTAATTTTAAGGCATTATTCTCTATTCTTTGTCCATTATTCTCTTTTCTTTGTATATAAGCACACCATTATTCTTATTTTTTGTAGCTGATTTTTCTCAGTTCCTTTTTTTTTTGCAAATTTTTCTCTAATCTTGGTCCATAATTTTCTATTCTTTATTTTTAAACAAAGGAATATACTAAGAAGGTATTCAATCCTGTGAGTCACAGAAAGACACATAAAACCAAAGAGTCAAAAAGAAAAAACGACTTAAAGACAAACAGCAGCCTACAAAACACCATACATAAAACAAAATATTGACCAACATGAACCTTAGCAAAATACTAGGAGTGAACCTGAGTAAACCAATAACATTTTAATATTCTCTTCCTGATGATGCATATAAAACTTTGCTAGTAAATGTTGATCAAAGTGCTTGTAAGTGATAAGGGGATAAAGATTGCCTTCAATTTACATTGTGAAGTAAAATATTAAACATTGCACTGTATAATGAACAGATATATCATGTTAAGGAGGGGTATTTGCGAAAATTACCAGTCGAGAGAATGTTAAATTTCGCGAGCCGTAAGGCGAGAGAAATTCATTCTCAAGACTGGTAGTTTTCGCAAATACCCCTCAAGAACATGCTATATCTGTTTAATTACACCGAATGTTATCGTACAAAACGCATTGATGATCGTGACATAAAACGCATTGATAATCGTGACATTACAAGCGTCCAGTCGGATAGAGTATTTTTTGGCAAATACCACGGCAGAGAGGGTAAAAAAGGCATATCCTTTTTGCATATACCCCGGCGCTGTTTAAAAATGAACGATATTCATTTGATAAAAGTAAATTGGTGAAAATACACTGGCTATCAACCAATCAAAACCCAGGGTTCTAACATAATGTGTAATTACACAAAGAAACATATCTAAGCTTTTTTTTCAATTGAGCCATCTTCTTTTGATAATAACTGAAGACAGAACAAATAGATTCATTAACCATTCACTACTATCTGCATTGTATTTGATTTCTAATGTTTGTTTTTTCTAGTATGATTCATTTTGTTAATTGAATATATTGTATATTTATGACTAACAAGCCAGTGGCTATGGGGATTTAATTGCAATTTTTGAAATCTCTACCTCAAAATTGTAAAAAAAAAGAGGAGGGGGATAACAAAGGGCACTTCAGAACTCATAAGTGAAAGAAAAATAATCATGACAAACAGGATAAACAAAGAAAAGACAAACAACTCTACCAAACAAGAGGCTCTCAAGAGCCTGAATCGCTCACCTGCACTTCAGAGGAGAAGATTTTTAAATGTTAGAAAACTTGAAGAACAAATTGTGTAAAATTGTCTTTAAAGGGCAATAACTCCTTAAGGGGTCAATTGACAATTTTGGTCATATTAACTTTTTTGTAGATCTTACTTTGCTGAACATTATTGCTGCTTACAGTTTATATATATCTATAATAATATTCAAAATAATAACAATAAAATGCTTCGCTGGGGCGCAGCTTGATACGACCGCAGAGGTCGAACCCTGAACAGTTGGGGCAAGTATGGACACAACATTCAAGCTTGATACAGCTCTGAATTTGGATTGTTATTAAATATTTGACACAGCATAGGTTTCTGACACAGAAAGAATGTGGTCTAAGAACTTGAATTTTTTTAATTTACCTATTATGGTCCAATGTCCAAAATCAAAATACATGGTTAGATTCAGCATATTAAAGAACCCCATATATTCATTTTTTGTTAAAATCAAACAAAGTTAAAATACTGGACCCTATCTTGGACCAACTTGAAAACTGGGCCCATAATCAAAAATCTAAACACATTTTTAGATTCAGCAAATCAAAGAACCCAAGAATTCAATTTTTGCTAAAATCAAACTAAGTTTAATTTTGGACCCTTTGGACCTTAATGTAGACCAATTTAAAAAACGGGACTTAAAATTAAAAATCTAAATACACGGTTAGATTTGGAATATCAAAGAACCCCAATAATTCAATTTTTGATGAAATCAAACAAAGTTTAATTTTGGACCCTTTTGACCTCAATATGAACCAATTTGATAGCGGGGCCCACAAATAAAAAATCTAAATTCATGGTTAGATTCAGCATATCAAAGAACCCCATATATTCAATTTTTGTTGAAATCAAAAAAAGTTTAATTTTGGACCCCAACTTGGACCAACTTGAAAACTGGGCCCATAATCAAAAATCTAAACACATGTTTAGATTCAGCATATCAAAGAACCCCCAAGAATTCAATTTTTGTTAAAATCAAACTAAGTTTAATTTTGGACCCTTTGGACCTCAATGAAGACCAATTTAAAAAACGGGACCGAAATTAAAAATCTAAAAACACGGTTAGATTTGGCATATCAAAGAACCCCAATAATTCAATTTTTGATGAAATCAAACAAAGTTTAATTTTGGACCCCAATTTGGACCAACTTTAAAACTAGGCCCATAATCATAAATCTAAATACATGTTTAGATTCAGCATATCAAAGAACCCCATATATTCAATTTTTGTTGAAATCAAACAAAGTTTAAATACTGGACCTTATCTTGGACCAACTTGAAAACTGGGCCCATAATCAAAAATCTAAACACATTTTTAGATTCAGCATATCAAAGAACCCCAAGAATTCAATTTTTGTTAAAATCAAACTAAGTTTAATTTTGGACCCTTTGGACCTTAATGTATACCAATTTAAAAAACAGGACCCAAAATTAAGAATCTAAATACACGGTTAGATTTGGAATATCAAAGAACCCCAATAATTCAATTTTAGATGAAATCAAACAAAGTTTAATTTTTGACCCTTTTGACCTCAATATGAACCAATTTGATAACGGGGTCCACAAATAAAAAATCTAAATACATGGTTAGATTCAGCATATCAAAGAACCCAATATATTCAATTTTTGTTGAAATCAAACAAAGTTTAATTTTGGACCCCAATTTGGACCAAATTGAAAACTGGGCCAAAAATCAAAAATCTAAATACATGTTTAGATTCAGCATATCAAAGAACCTCATATATTCAATTTTTGCTACAATCAAACAAAGTTTAATTTTGGACCCTTTGGACCTTAATGTAGACCAATTTGAAAACTGGACCCAAAATTAAAAATCTAAATACACTGTTAGATTCGGCATAACAAATAAATAAATGTGATCAAAGATTTTACAAATCTAATGCGCCATACTGTGCAATTAAAGATTACTTCTTGAAATTTTTCAATATTTGAAATTTGAAAAAAAAAATAATATTTGAAGAATAATTCTGTTAATTTCTGAAATCTGAAATGAGAAAAAATTGACCCCCCACAATTTCTTTTTACCCCCACCCCCTTTTTTCCCCCAAAAAATTCTTTCCCTCAAGATATGGTCATAATCTCAATTCAAATTTCCAATGGAGTTGGCAACCATAATTACCCATTTAAATTTACCATAGTGCTAACTTAATCTATTTTATAATAGAATTAAAAATATAGTGTCAAATCATTCATATGGATTTTTTTGTAAAAAAAAAAGATGCAACATTTGCAGATATTTTTACTGGTCTTCCTTTATAAATATGCATTTCTTTAAACATAATTTAAAAGCAGTGTAAGGGAAGTAACCAAAATGTTGTATTTGGATTACCTCCCTTACACTGTTTTAAATTATCTGTATTGTTCATTAACCATTACTTTATACATAATTTAAAAGCAGTGTAAGGGAGATAATTTCAATGATGTATTTGATTTATCTCCCTTACACTGCTTTAAATTATGTTTTGTACTAAAGTATTTGTCCATTAACCAGAACAACCTTGTTTTCCCCCTTTTTTGCCCCTAATTCCTAAACGGTTTGAGCCATAACCCCCCAAAGCAAATCCTAACCATCCCTTTGTGGTATGGAAACTTGTAGTATAATTTCAGAGAGATCTATACACCGTTCCACAGTTATTGCCTGGAAACTAGAAAATGCTTATTTTTGGCCCCTTTTTGGCCCCTAATTCCTTAACTGTTGGTACCTTAACCCCCAAAATCAATCCCAACTTTCCTTTTGTGGTATTTAACCTTATGGTCAAATTTCAAAAAGATCCATTCACTTAAACTAAAGTTAGAGTGCGAAAACCAATGTGTCTTCGGACGACGACGCCGGACGACGACGACGACGACGACGCCACCGTCATACCAATATACGACCACAAAATTTTTTGCGGTCGTATAAAAACCTGCAAAATTTTGTTAAAACTACCAATTCGGTGGCAGCAACACAACAATGGTTTGTTTGATTCGTCTGAAAATTTCAGAGCTGATAGATCTTGACCAACTGAACAATTTTACCCCATGTCACATTTGCTCTAAAAGATTTAGTTTTTGAGATATAAGCCAAAAACTGCATTTGACCCTTATGTTCTATTTTTAGCCATGGCGGCCATGTTTGTTGATGGATCAAAGTTTAGGATACAATTCATAAACTAGATTCCTAAAGGAACATTCATTCAAAGTTAAGAGGTATTAGGCACAATAGTTTCAGAAGAGAAGATTTTTAAATGTTAGAAAACTTGATGAACAAATTGTGTAAAATTGTCTTTAAAGGGCAATAACTCCTTAAGGGGTCAATTGACAATTTTAGTCATATAAAACTTTTCTGTAGATCTTACTTTGCTGAACATTATTGCTGTTTACAGTTTATATCTATCTATAATAATATTCAAGATAATAACAAAAAACTGCAAAATTTCCTCAAAACTACCAATTTAGTGGCGGCAACCCAACAATGGGTTGTTCGATTTGTCTGAAAATTTCATGACTGATAGATCTTGACCAATTGAACAATTTTACCCATGTCAGATTTGCTCTAAAAGCTTTAGTTTTGGAGATATAAGCCAAAAACTGCATTTGACCCT